ATAGAATAGAATAGAATAGAATAGAATAGAATAGAATATAGGAAAATATAGAAGGAGAAAAGAGAAGATAATATAGGAATGGAATGGAATAAAACATTAGAATAGAATAGAATAGAATAGAATAGAATGGAATGGAATGGAAGGGAAGGGAAGGGAAGGGAAGGGAAGGGAAGGGAAGGGAATATAGGATAATGTAGAAAGAGAAAAGAGAAGAGAAGGTAATATAGGAATGGAATGGAATAGAATATAGAATAGAATAAGGAATGGAATGGAACAGGAGAATGGAATAGAATAGAATAGAATATAGGATAATATAGAAAGAGAAGAGAATTGAATATAGGAATGGAATGAATAGAATAGAAAGAATAGAACAGAATAATAGCATTGGAAGGGACTTTGGTGATCTTCTAGTCTCCTGCCTAGGCAGGAAACCCTACACCACTTCGGACAAATGGTTATCCAACATCTTTTTAAAAACTTCCAGCGTTGGAGCATTTACAATTTCTGGAGGCAATTTGTTCCACTGCTTCATTGTTCTCATGTTCAGGAAATTCCTCCTTAGTTCTAGGTTGCTTCTCTCCTTGTTTACTTTCCACCCGTTGCTTCTTGTCCTGCCTTCAGGGCTTTGGAGAACAGCTGGACTCCCCCTTCTTTGGGGCAGCCCCCGAGACATCGGAACGCTGCTACCACGTGTCCCCTGCTCCTTCTTTTCATTAGACTAAATAAAAAAAGTTTGTGCAACTTTGAAAAGTTGAGATGATTATTAAAAGCCCAGGCCTGCCCCATTTAGCTTGAAAACGTGGAAAGTGAAGGCCGTGTTAACAGGATCCCCAGTGATTCTAGATCTACACCACGGCATTAGAAATTTAATCAGATTTAATCAGACGTTAAATGCCACTGCATTCCAAAGGGCTCCAGGCTGATTACCACAAACTTTAACAATACTTTAAAAAGATTAGACCGTATAGCGTGACTATCTTCTGAACAAACACGTCGAGGATTATTAAGGCTCGAAGCCGATTTAACTCTGGCTTAAATTAGCTGCACAGCTACCTCCTTGCTGGAATTCCCATTTGAAAATATGTTGATTTAGGGCCATTTATCAAAAGCTGTGGGGGAGCCTAGATTTGATCCATCAAATATAGGCAGTCCTCGCCTTGCAGCATTCATTTAGCGCCCGTTCAAAGTTACAACTGCACTGCCAGAAAGGGGACTCACGACCGTTTTTTTTTCGGAGCTGTGACCACTGCAGCCATCATCCCCATGGTCACGTGATTTACATTTCAATGCTTGGCAACTGCTTCACATTTATGACCGTTACGTGATTCCCTCTTTTGCGACCTTCTGACAAGCAAAGTCCATGGGGAAGCCAGATTCACTTAACCACCAGGTTACTAACTTAGCAAATACAGGGATTCCCTTAGCAACTGTAGCAAGAAAAATTGTAAAATGGGACAAAAACTCACCTAAGCAAATTGCTCACTTAGCAACGTCAATTTTGAGCCCAACTGTGATTGTAAATGGAGGACTACTTGTAACCTTTTGAGGAAAACTCGGCTGAGAGAAACCGCAGCGTTAACAACAACTTGAGCCTCCTTTTGACTTGAATTCAAGCCAATATTTTAAGCTTTAAAAAAAAGGGCACTGCTTCCTCCTCATTTTATGGAGAGTCCTTGACTTAGCCCTCCCATACAAGCACCTCTTACAATACTAGGTCAACATCTGCAATACTCTACCTGACTCTGTGGTTTCTTCCCCAAACCCCAAAAACTTTAACCTTAGACTGTCTACTGTTGACCTCACCCCTTTCCTAAGAGGTCTGTAGGGGGCCTGCATAAGCGCACCAACGTGCCTACCGTCCCTGTCCTATGGTTTCTTTTTATTTTTCTTATATGTACCCATTTCATGTATTCAAAACTATGTTTTTATTTATACCTGTTATCTTATAATCGCTTGACAAAATAAATAAATAAGCAAACAAACACAGTATCAACAGTAGAGACCGTCAAATGTCCAGGTTCTATCATATCACAAGTCCTAAAATGGACACCCATCATCAAAACCGTCATCAAAAAAGCCCAACGAAGAAGGTTCTTTCTGCGCCAACTCAGGAAGCTCAAACTGCCCAAGGAGCTGCTGATAACAGTTCGGCAGAGGAATTATTGAGTCTGTCATCTGCACCTCTAGAACGGTCTGGTTTGGTTCTGCAACCCAACAGGACAGACACAGACTCCAGAGAGGAATTAGGACTGCAGAAAAAACAATTACTACCCACCTGCCTTCAATTGAGGACCTGTATATACTGCAGGAGTCAAAAAGAGGGCTGTGAAAATATCTACAGACCCCTCACATCCCGGACATGAACTATTTCAACTCCTACCCTCAAAATGACGCTATAAAGCTCTGCACATCAGAACAACTAGACACAAGGGGAGTTTTCCCCCGAACGCGATCACTCTGCTAAAGAAATAATTCCCTCAACACTGTCCAACTATTTACTAGGTCTGCACTACTACTATTAATCTTCTCATCACTCATCACCCATCCCCTCCCACTTGTGACTGTATGGCTGTAACTTTATCGCTTGTATCCTTACGATTTATATTGACGGTTTCCTAGTATGATTTGATGGCTTATTGTACCCTGTGACTATTATTGTTGGACCTTATGATTCTTGACTCTTGACGAATGTATCTCTTCTTATGCCCACTGAGAGCATTTGCACCAAAGTCAAATTCCTTATGTGTCCAATCACACTTGGCCAATAAAAAATTCTATTCTATTCTATTCTATTCTATTCTATTCTATTCTATTCTATTCTATTCTATTCTATTCTATTCTATTCTATTCCATTCCATTCCATTCTATTTTCTATTCTATTCCATTCTATTCCATATTCTATTCTATTCCATATTCTATTCCATTCCATTCCATTCCATTCCATTCCATTCCATTCTATTTCTATTCTTACAACCATTTATTGAGTGACCGTTCATGATTACAAAGGCACTGGAAAAAGTCACTAAGGGCTGTTTTTCACCTTACAACCGTTGTAGCATCCCCGTAGTCCCATGGTCAAACTTTGGATGCTCAACAATTGACCCGTATTTTTGACGGTTGCAGTGCCCCGGGTATGTGTGTGACGTCATCATGTTTTGTGGCCTTCTGACAAGCAAAGGCAGTGGGGATGCCGATTTCAGAATCCGAATCGAGCTGGAAGGAGGACCTTGGAGGTCTTCTAGTCCAGCCTCCCCCCTTCTCATTGTTAAGAAGTTCTTCTTAATTCCAGGTTGCTGGAATTTCACTCTTAACAAGTGGGAAAACAGTCCTCAAGTCCCTTTTTTGGGGAGTGCCATTGTAATGTTGAACGGGTCACTAAACGAACGGTTGTAAGTTGAGGACTACCTGAGGCTGCCCCATCATCCCTTCTGATTTCCTCCCCCCTCTGGCCACTTGCCCGCCAGCAGATGCACTGCCTGAAGGTGAAGCGTGCCCGTGTTGCCAGTGAGAACGCTCCAAAACAATCAACAAGAGTTGGGAGGGACTTTCGAGGTCATCTAGTCCAACCCCCCCAAGCAGGTTTTGCAATGGGGAAAGCGGCTTATTGCAAGAGGCCCATCCAAAGGGACAGGGCACCTAGCAAATCTCATCCTATATACGACGCGCCTTATTTCTCCCCGCAAAATAATTTCCTCCTAATTATGAATATTAACGAGCCGCTAAGGGGAAAATTGGGGACTGCAGAGTATAAGCTCCCTAAGGCCCCTGGCGCCTGCGCAGTGCCGTCGCCGTCTACTTTTTTTTCCCACACACCCGGGTATGCGCGCGCAGCAGAAAAGGCACCGCCTCCTTTCCCTTCCCGGCCCTTGCTAATCTTTCCCAACGGCGCCTGCGCGAGATTCTCGTTTCGGCGAGGTTAACTCCGGCCGTTGAAGGGGGGGAAGGCTCTCTTCGCCGGAAGTGCGTGAGGCCACCCGACCGGAAGTGGTCCTGCGGTGGGAGAAAAGAGGAGCCTCGCCGAGCGGCCGTGGCAGGAAAGGAAAGGGAAAAGGACCGCGGTGAGTGAAGGGCCGGGAGAAGAAGGGACGGCCCGTGCTTTTCAGGCCGAGGGGAATGAGGGGACGAAAGAGACCGGTTCGCCTTTACCCCCGCCCCTCACACAGAGGGCGAAAAGGTTGACGCATTCGCGGGGGAGGGGCTGGCGCAATCGAAGCCTCGCCCTTCGCGCGTCTTACGTCACAGCCCCCCCCCCGGCCTGCGTGGCCACGCCCCCGGGCAGGACTGCTGGGTGGTTGGGGAGGCGGCTCTGCGTGGCGGTGACGTCATTCCCCAGGAATTGCGCAATCGGCCGGTAGGATCGAGTGGGGGGGGTCTCCTGTCTCCCCTCCCCCCCCATTATCAGGGGCGCCTGCTGTCATCTCAGATTGCTGGAGCCTGATAAGAAAGCGAGGGGTGGAGCCTCTTTGGGGGGCGGGGCAAGGGCGGGGCTTTGGTATCCAGCCAAGACTTTATGCCCTGGAGATCTTTCCCCTCTGCCCACCTAGGGAGCCAACCACAGGTAGTCCTCGACTTACGACTTACAATTGACCCCAGCATTTCCGTTGCTAAGCGAGACCCGTCCCAGTGTACAACCTTCCTTGCTGCTGGTCCTTCTGTCAGGAATGGTGTAAGGTCTCCTGCTTGGGCGGTGGGTGGGGTGGGGTTGGACTAGATGACCTACAAGGTCCCATCCAACTCTGTTAATTTGCAAAAGTAAAGTGTTAAGTGAAGAATTAAAAAAAAATAAGGGGGAATCTTGAGTACTATGAAACGTGAAATAAATTCTATCAGTGGTTGCATAGAAGAAGGCAGGAATTCCGGGACATAAAAAAAAAGTTGAAATCCACGTCTTACACTCGTAAGACCCTTGCCTTATATCTTGCAAGTCTGGCTAGTCCAAGGGTCTTCCAACTTGGCCAGTTGAAGACTTGTGGACTCCAACTCCCAGAATTCCTGAGCTAACAGGACTGGAGGAGGAATTCTGGGAGTTGAAGTCCACAAGTCTTAAAGCTGTCAAGTTTGAAGACCCCTGGGCTAGACTCTTGCAAACGAGTGATCAACCCTCGAGAAATCTCATCTGACCCATTTGTAGAGCTGTTCTGGTTGCATTCGCTCTAGTTGTGGAGATCTCTTTCCCCAAGTAATGAGCAGTTTTAATGCTTAGGTAATTATCAGTTGTTCAAGGAAAGTCAGCAAATACCCTAGGAATTTTTTTTTTTCTCCTGTCAAATCCTGGTTTGGTTTTTTTTTTTTTTCCTTAGTGGAAGAAAACCCAAACGATCTAGTTTCCCCACATTCGGCCTATATGGATTGATGCAGCCTCTCTCACCTAGGTCAGGGAGGGCCCGCAATAATGCACTCTTAGTGAGCTTTCCACCTCTTTTGTTAAAATGCACAAAATGTCTACAGCGTGGGGTCGATGGAGGCTGCCCCGAGGCCGTTTTCATTCCTTCTGCTTTGGTTGCAAGGCCGTACATATATACAAACAGTGTGTCGGTTGGTTCATCAGTTTTGTGCATTCATTTCGTAGTCTCAATTACAGTTATGTTACATAATAACCCTAATTATCAATCCAAACGTATATGTCCTCATATCATTATTAAAAAAATCATTTGACTATAATTTTATTCATTCATACTTTATGAGATAACTATAATTTAAGTAATTTATTCTATAACAAATCATATAATCATTCCAAATCTATCCTAAAAAACACTTTATAGATGTGATGTCAAATAACAAAAGAAAAAGAAAAAACAAAGATATTCCTTATTAGCTAACATTCTAGATATTCTATTATTGTATTTTATCATCCAACCATTGATAGAAAAGGTCCCAAGTTTTATAAAATTGTTTATCTTCTTGCTCTTTAATTTCAAATGTCAATCTACTCATCTCAGCACATTCCAATATTTTCTTAATAATTTCTTCCTGCAATGGAATTTTCTCATTTTTCCAATTTTTAGCAAATACAATCCTAGCCGCTGTTAATACATTTACAATCAGGTATTTCTAGTCTTTACAGAATTATTCAAGTATTTGAGGGGGTGCCAGAAAGAGGAGAGGGTCAACTTATTTTTCAAAGCCCCTGAAGGCAAGGCAAGAAACGATGAATGGAAACTAATCAAGGAGAGAAGCAACCTGGAATTAAGGAGAAACTTCCTAGCAGTGGAGACAATTAACCAGTGGAACAACTAAACCTCCAGATATTGTGGGCTTTTCCTCGCTGGCGGTTTAAGAGGAGACTGGACAGCCACTTGTCTGGAATGGTATAGGATCTCCCGCTTGACCAGGGGGATGGACTAGAGGACCTCCAAGGTCCCTTCCAGCTGTATTCTGATTGAAACATTCTGCTGTTGGTTGAGCATTGCAGCTGCCCTAGATAGTAACTTTTGAATGTTTAGTACCCCCTTTTTAAAAAAAACTTCCATTGTTTCTCCTCCCTATTGTAGCCTCCCCGATTCAGGCTCTGTTTTTCAGAGGAGCGCTGCTATCCTTTTACTACTGGTTGTTCTCAGCACTAGGTGGCAGTAACGGATCGTAGTTTCCCTCCCTTTAATCCAAAGCGTGGGCACCCCCTGTGTGCGCCTTGCGCAGTCTCACGAATCTCCTTGCCCGTTTTGGGGCTTTTCTGTTTCTATTTGTTCTTTTTTTTTTTTTCCCCTGCAAGGGATTGATTTCAGGGATAGGAGAAGGGTGAAGGAGCCTCCATCCATTTTACACCATTTTACAGACCCCAGTGGCCTCCTTTCCTCCCTGAAGACTAAAAGCAAAATGTCCGCTCCAAAATCTTACCACCAGCTGTAAACAAGTCCTGCCTTTATATTATGCATCGTTTGAATGCGTGGATGGGACACAGAGTGAAAATGAAATGAAATGAAAGAATAGAACTAAGGAGAACTTTCCTGACTGTCAGGACAACTAGCCAGGGGAAGGACCTGCCTCCAGAGGTTGCAGTTGCTCTAACATTGGAGGTTCCTAAGAAGAGATTGGACAACCATTGGTCTGAAATAGTAGAAGGTCTCATGCTTGAGCAGTGGGTTGGACTAGAAGACCTCTAAGTCCCCTTCCGCCTCTGTTATTTTGTTAAGGCTCAGGCTTCCCTAAGACCTGAGAGCACCTAATAATACTTAAAAGGCTGTACAGGAAAGAGAGGACAATTTATTCTCCATAACACCCAAAAGCAGGACGAAGAAGTAATGGATGAAAGACCTCCAAGGTCTCTCTCTCAGCTGTGTTCTTCTGAATGATACAACTCATATGCCTTTTGTAGACCAAAGGTTGGTTTTTCCCACTACAACAACCCTGTGAGGTGGGCTGGAGAGAGAGAGAGAGAATGGGACTAGCCCAAAGTCACCCAGCTGGCTTTCATGCCTAAGGCGGGACTAGAACTCCCCATCTTCTGGTGATTGGCCCAAAGTCACCCATCCGGCTTTCATGCCTGAGGCGGGACTAAAAGTCTCTGTCTCCCAGTGATTGGCCCAAAGTCACCCAAGCAACTTTCATGCCTAAGGTGGGACTAGAACTCCCCGACTCCTAGTGATTGGCCCAAAGTCACCCAGCTGGCTTTCATGCCTAAGGCGGGA